TGATTCAGTTGTGATTCAGTTGTGATTCAGTTGTGATTCAGTTGTGATTCAGTTGCTCCTCTAGTTCTAATTTTACGCACAAGTGTAAGAAAAGCTGATTCAAAACATTTTCGTTTAATTTGAAAAGAGGAGTCATGATAAAAAACATAAAATATTTAAATTTTACGTTAATTTTACTTTAGTTTGACGTGCCCAGTGAATACATATTGGAATATATCTTGATTGTGTTTATAGTTTGATCCTTGATTCAACCTTTGGCAAACAGAACTTTAATTGAGAGTTAAACTAACTTTATTCAAACCATCTGTTCTCCTTCACCGCAAACTATTATTAAATGAACAATGTTAGAAGGGGGGGGGGGGGTTCAAGGAACTTTATTGGACCGTTCATTCTTTGGATTACAAGCTTGAATACTGATCTGTTGTGGACACAAATATTTTCCAAGACAAATTATTCTAAATATGTTTTACGGACGCGTAAGATTTTCATAAATGTTTCAATATATCTGAATTCCACATTTCATTGTTTGACTCTTAATTGAATCCAATGAATTTTAACAGCGTTATGTACTGGTACTTAGAGGGAGGTTCGAACCTAGGTAGTTAGGAGACTTTTATTGATAATAAGTTTTAAAAAATAAAACAATTCAAAAATTAAAAGGTGGATGAATAGGTTACAACTCCTCTGAATTTAAAAATAAAAATCAATGCTTGTAATAAATATGATCACAGTGATGAATAGGTGATATGTAAAATCTTGCATATCAATGTATATTGCTACAGCATTCATACAAAAATCTGTGGAAAGTATATAATTGTGCTATTTGTAATTCTTTTATAATTCAAATGTTCATTTTCACTAATTTTTAATGTAAATTGATGTCAATGACCGATTCAAAACGGTATCCTGAACATTTTTGTCTGAATAATTAAGAAAAAGATCTCAATGTTTATTATTTGAAAACAGATTATTTTATATTGTGGTTTCTCTACAAAGTGAGTAAACAATATTGAAAGACGTGTTAACTTATAAAACGACAATATCTTCCACATTATTATTTTTAGGGTGTCGATGTAAATCGGGCATTGTCATCTTTTCATGCAGGGTTTATTGAACTTATGTCAGTAGGGAAGAAAGGTAAAACTAGTTTATACATGAAAAACAAGTTGTATAATTATGCCAAATGAATCCAAGATTGAGACAGCGGAAAGTAAAGTTTGAAAATCCTAAAAACTTTTTCTGAATAAAAGTTTTCCGTTTTAACTTTCAAGAAACCATTTTGGAAAAATACTACTAAAATATTATTAAATATTAAACAATCTGTTCTTTATTTCAAATAGTTTTCTAAAAATGTGTTGAGATCCATTGCCCGGACATGGGTCCTAATATAGATTTAGTTTGGCAAATGTAAAATAAGACATTTAGACATTGGCATAAATCGTAAGTTCTTAGGAAAAGTAAAAAATATAGAATTAATTTGGGTTGAATTGTTCAATAATGCATGAATGAATAATTAAGCCGAAGTATTAAATACAAAAAAAAGGAAAGCGTAACCTACAATTAGAGCCCTGAAAGCATATTTAATTGTTGTCTTTACTTCAATTAAAAATCAATTTTTGCAATTAGAATATAATGATAAATTAAATAAATTTCAAATTAAGACCCTATGTTGTATATCACAAAGATATCTCAAACTAAATTGAAAAATCTGTTTCCATTAATTCTTAACTCAATATTGTTTAATCTACAGTTCAAAGGAAAGCCTATACAATTCGTGTTCAACAGTTTAAAACTTCATATAGATAAATAAACAGACACAGGAGGGGCTTAAATATTTAAAGAAGGGGGGGGGATATGTAGGACTAGTAAGGAAAGGGTAGGACTAGTATTGCAGGACAAGGAAAGGCTATGACTAGTATTCCAGGACAAGGAAAGAGTAGGAGTATTATTGAAGGACAAGGAAAATGTAGGACTAGTATTACAGGACAAGGACAGAGTAGGAGTATTATTGAAGGACACGAAAAGGGTAGGACTATTATTGAAGGACAAGGAAAGGATAGGACTAGTATTGTAGGACAAGAAAAAGGTGGGACTACTATTGTTGGACAAGGAAAGGATATGACTAGTATTGTAGGACAAGGAAAGGATATGACTAGTATTGTAGGACAAGGAAAGGATAGGAATAGTATTGTAGGACAAGGGGAGGGTGGAACTAGTATTGTAGGACAAGGAAAGAGTAAAACTAGCATCGTACGACAAGGAAGGGTAGGACTAGTATTGTAGGACAAGAGGAGAATAAGACTAGTATTATAGGACATAGGAAGGGTATGAATAGTTTTTATAGGACAAAGGAAGTGTAGGACTAGTATTATAGAACAAAGGAAGGGTGTGACTAGCATTACGGGACAAGGGAAGGGTATGTCTACTATTATAGAACAAAGGAAGGATAGGACTAGTATTATAGGACAAAGGAAGGGTAGGTCTAGTATTATAGGACAATGAAAGGATAGGACTAGTTTTATAGGACAAGGGAATGATAGGACTAGTATTATAGGACAAATGAATGATAGGACTAGTATTATAGGACAAAGGAATGATAGGACTAGAATTATAGGACAAAGGAATGATAGAACTATTGTTTGACGCATGATTGTTTAGTTTAAGGAAATGTAGTGGGATGAATTCCATTAAATGCATTGAAAATGTTTAATTCTGCATAAAAATAAATTATTAAAAACTTCCACTTTTAGAATACAGAATAGATTACAAAGAGAGAGGGTGGATAAAGATAGAGGGAAGGAAAGGGGAAGGGAAGGAATGGAGTGAGGGAAGAAAGGGAGGGAAGGGAAGGGTAGAAGACGGAGGGGTTTGGAAGAGTCCAGGGGGCCAATATTAAGGGTTGGAGGGGGAGAGAAAGGGTGATGAAATATATTGGTTGAGTAATACAATTAGTAAAGGGAAATGCATTCATTAACTAAATATATATTGTTTAGATAAATGTACAATATACATATTTACAATGTGCAATGTATTTTGTACAATAATACAACAATATAGAAACATATACATTATTCAAGTCAATTATTTAATGTAAATTTTTTTATATTAAATTATTACAGATTGGTGCAAAAAACTGTATTTTTCTCATAAAAGCTAAAAAAAATCATTTTTATTGTTAGTTTTTTTTAATTTAAATCTTTTAATGACATTTGATGAAACTGTTAATTATGTACTTGCACTTTTAAATTAGATATTTTAAACTATGTATTCTGTTAGACCAATAATTTAAGTTTGAAATATTAAAGGTGCACACAATTAGGCTGCAAAGATATAGGGATTAGAAAATTTGGGTTTGTTGCAAAGATTCAATTCCGTTTTATTTTTTTTTATCATGATAAAAAACCAAGCTTTATCACACCCCCTTGATATATTTGTGTGAGCATTTTATAAAAGGTATGATTTATATTACAATTACATATCGTGTTACTTACTTGCATCTATAATATATGATATATATTATTTACATTGTGGATATAATATATAGACTTGTAATTGGAGATTAATTTAACCAATCTATATCTATACATACAGTGTGTCCCATGGAGCATTAAAGTTAAAGACGACAAACATAATATTGATTAGTTTTGAAGTGCTATACAAGTGGACGTATACCGTAATTCAAAAATTAAAGAAAACACTTGTGTTTAGAAAGTTTAAGAAGGGCAGCAAAGAGTGCATATTGTATATTTGATATTATATCAGAAATAAGAAGTTTTGTAAATCACAGGATCAAGTATTGATCTCCGTATAATACAGATCTACAGATCTCCTCTCAGTTCTCATTGATATCTCGTGATGGTCTAACCCTGCAGGGATTACGTTATTGGAGGGATCAAACATTCATAATCAAGTTTAAAAGTGCAAACATTTGATATCGAGATCAAGAGTTCAAGATTAACCACAATGGCCACAGAAAAGCTCTGTTCGTCTTTACATGTGTATTTGGACACACTGTGATGTATACTGATAAATATAACTCCTGTATTTGGACAGACTGTGGTGATTACTGATAAATATAACTCCTGTATTTGGACACACTGTGGTGTATACAAATATAACTCCTGTATTTGGACACACTGTGGTGTATACTGATAAATATAACTCCTGTATGTGGACACACTGTGGTGTATACTGATAAATATAAATCATGTATTTTGACACACTGTGGTGTATACTGATAAATAGAACTCATGTATTTAGACACACTGTGGTGTATACTAATAAATATAACTCCTGTATGCACAACTCACACCTCTACTAATATTTACAATTAATCTAACCATAATAAGCCAAGAACTAATGGGGATTTGGGTAGCTTATATTTTACTGTAACGTTACAGGACAACTTGTTCTGAAACAATAAACATCCTTTTAATAATACAAGTATTATTCAAAACAGAAAAATAAATTAAAAATAGTGAGAACCAGAAAACAGCGTAATTCTCGTTAAAATGTCGCGCTGGTTTTTGTAGTTTCAAAACCATGTGAAAGAAAAATCCTCAGCGACCTTTGTTAACCCTATCTGGCCGGGGGGGGGGGGGNTTAAACAAACAATTAGAAATATTATCTTTTAAACAAACAATTAGAAATATTATCTTTTAAACAAACAATTAGAAATATTATCTTTTAAACAAACAATTAGAAATATTATCTTTTAAACAAACAATTAGAAATATTATCTTTTAAACAAACAATTAGAAATATTATCTTTTAAACAAACAATTAGAAATATTATCTTTTAAACAAACAATTAGAAATATTATCTTTTAAACAAACAATTAGAAATATTATCTTTTAAACAAACAATTAGAAATATTATCTTTTAAACAAACAATTAGAAATTTTCTTGAGCAATGAGAATACATGGATACAAAATTCCAAGTCTTATCTTCTAATATGCTATAATTGTTAAATATTGTTAAATATTCCTTATCTTGTATTTTTTATTCAGTTCTCTCCTAACATTTATCATGCTTGTCACTTTGCTATTACTTTGTCTGCAGATTGCAGGGTTGGTTAACTGTGGATATGTGAGAGTTGCTGAAATAACCCCTATATCGGATTTGTTTGATGAATTCTGGGATTGGAGGTTGGAGCGAAGCCCGGAGTTTAGCACATTGGTTGGGAGCAGGGAGCATAATGATATACTGGAGCAGTTTACTGAAACCAGGTTTAATGAAGATTTGGCCTCATGTCAGGAATTTAAAAGTAGAGCGGAGGAACTGCTCAGTTCTACTACAGACCCAGAGCAAAACTTGAACCTTAGATTTTTCATTGCAGAGCTTCAAACCTTCATCTCTGGGTTTCCCTTTACAGGATTCTACTACCCTATGAACTATATGGAAGGAGTTCAGGTGGATTTGCAGAAGCTGATAGAGTGGGGTCCACCAGAAACTATCAAGGACTATGATGATATAATCTCAAGATACTCCAAATTCTCTACTCTAGCTGAACAGATTGTCGGTATGATGAGGAAAGGAATGACTATGAACCGAACCAACAATGCAGTATCCATGGAGGGGGTTGAAGAACAGTGTAGATCTCATCTTGGAGAACCAAAGGAAACCATATTCTTTGAACCATTCAAAACTTTAAACTTTACTGCAGAGGAAAACAGTAGACTTCAGGCAGAAGCTTACTCTGCCATAGAATCCTCTGTACAGTCTGGATTCATGATACTAGCTGACTTCTTATCTGCTGAATATGCTTCTGCTACAAGACCTGAAATAGGAGCATCAAGTGTGTCGCCAGAGTATTACAAGGCTTGTCTTGCCTTCCACACCTCAACCAACCTGACTGCAGAGCAGATACATCAGAAGGGGTTAGATGAGGTTGAAAGGATTGAAGAAGAGATGAGAGAGATTGTCAAGGAGATGGGACTTAATCTCACCCTACCAGAGTTCATTGAGATGCTGAGGACTGATGAGAACAACTTCTTTAACTCCCCCCAGGAACTATTAGATTCATTCAAGGATATTATTGAGAACAAGATTGATCAAGAACTCCTTCAAATCTTTCATTCAAAACCAACAACAAAACTTGAAATAACAGAGGTCCCTGCTAACACCCCTGACGCCGCTGCTGCCTATTATATTGCAGGAACTCCAGATGGCACGCGACCAGGACGTCTGTATGTAAACACACACAAGTACCAGAGCCAACCTAAATATGAGATGATTAGTCTAAGTCTTCATGAAACCAACCCAGGGCATCATCTCCAGGGTTCCTATATGCTAGAGAGAACTGAATGGCCTATGTTCCGTAAATCAATGGAGGATAGAATATATTCCCAGACTCCTACCAGATTCCCAATAAACACAGCTTATACAGAGGGATGGGGTTTGTACAGTGAATCTCTGGGGTTTGATATGGGACTGTACTCTAACCCATTGGATAGATATGGACATCTTAGTGAGGAGATATTTAGAGCATGTCGTCTTGTTGTAGATACAGGTATGCATGCTCTAGGTTGGACAAGGGAGCAGGCTGTTGAGTTTATGTTGACCCATACAGCAGCTAGCAAGGAGAATATCAGGGGAGAGGTTAACCGCTATGTAACCTGGCCTGGGCAAGCTACTGGATACAAGATAGGGCAGATGAAGATCAGAGAGCTAAGAGCTACAGCCGAAACCAAGCTAGGAGACAAGTTTAATATCAAGGATTTCCATGAGGTTGTTCTCCAGGCTGCAGGTCCTCTCTATATACTGGAGCAACAGGTTCAACAGTATATAGATAACAATATGTAAACAAATAAATTTTTTTTGCTAGATTTGTTTTTTCACCATGATTAAACCTTCTTTGAAAATAATCAAATAAATTATAATTCTTAAAATTAAAAAAATTCTTGAGAGAATATGGGCAGAAAATGTTAACGGGGTTTAATAAGTTTTCTAGCAAAAGCTGGATTGGGTAATCACACTAACAACACGTATAAATGGGACAAAAATACATAGATTTAAAAAAATGTTTATGTGGTTAAAGATATTAAAGTTATGCTAGTGGTTCACAATTAATGTTTTAAACTCAAGTTATGATTTAAGTACTCCAATGAAAATAAAAAAACAAACAATTGTGTATTGTACACAGACAAATTTTACTTAAAATGTTGGTTTCCAAGCTACTGATAGAACTATTTGCTTTTAAATAAATTTCTAAAATGTCGTTTTCCTATTCCTTATTTTTATCAATCTCACTTTTAGGGATGGGAGCGTTCGGCTTTTTCAATTCGGTCAGTGAGATCAGGCGTTCAGTAACATTTTCGTTCACTAAAACTTTTTGATCATTAAAAATCGATATTATAAGCTCATTTGAAAAATTGTTCGTTCAGTAAAAAAATCAATATTTTTTTAAGTTCGTTCAAAATGATCGTGTTATTGATTTGAAAACGTTTTTTTGTTTGTTTAGTTTGTTTTGTGATTGAAACTTTGATTAAACACATTAAAATGGTATATTCTGATCTTTGTACAACTATACTTATACCCTGCAGGTTCTTACAAGGATTAAAAATCTGATTCAAGGATTAAACCTTGATGCTTCCGTACCCTTAATCCAGGGATTTAATTCCCATGTGTATGCATAGATACAGGATGAGTAAAAAACATTTAAAATTTTTGTTTGTTATTGACTTTAGGTATAAAAACACTGAAATGTTCCAATAAGAATCACAAATATTTTTAGAAACATTGACAACAGATTTGCGAAACCCGTTTTTTAAAATTAAAAATGAGAAAACGTTGGAAAATGTACATTCTATTGTTTCTAAAATTTCTTAATTCATAAATATTTGAAAGAGTTTGATAAATCCGCAAGAAATAGTGGAAATCTGTGATGGATAGCTCGTTAACATTGCTGCTAAATTTTCAAAGAGAAGAGAAGAAGAGAAGAAGAGAAGAGAAGAGAAAATAAGAAGAAAAGTAAAAGGAGAGAAGAGAAGAGAAGATTTCAACAATTTGGTTGCGCAGTCTCTCAAAAAAACGAACACAAAAAAAACAATTTAAATTTTTTTTGTCATGTATTTTTTAATTATTGGTAAATTTTTTTTATGAAATTTTGGAAAAACATAGAAGAAACATTTTCCATCAATTTTTAAAGAAATTTTATTTTGTCAAAAAAAATTGAATTTGCGGATTTATTTTTTAATGTTTCAAAAATATTCTTTTATTTTTACCTTAAAAATATTTCATTTTATGGTTTAATTAATATAATAAACTAGATGAAGGGCTCGGCGTTGCCAGTGGAAAAAAAATTCGGGAAAAGAAATTTCGATTTTTTAACCTATAAGAAGCCCCCGCCCCCCCCATAAGTGTCCACAAAAAATTTCAACCTAATCGGTTCAGCCGTTTGTATGAATGTCTTGTTATATTACATAGAAAGATAAGAAGACAATTTCATTTAATAAAGACACTCATATTTTCAAACTTTTATATTAACTCTTGATTTATAACTAAAGGTATCACAATGATGCAAAGGAAAAGGGGAAATGAATATTCTGTATCTGATATGGACAAAAATGTCGATATTAACTACAACAAAGTTTATACTGTTATTTTTTAATTTTGTGTTTTAAGAAAAACAGTTATATTCTGAAAAAAAAATTCTATCTTTGAGTAAATAACATTTGTTTTGCCTGAAAAGCTAAAGTAATTTTTGACTGGGGGGATTTTTCACTCATTATGCTCCAATTAATTCTTTTCGCGCCATTTTTTTTTGTAAATCAGAGGATTTTTAAAGTCAAATTTGCACGTTTTCAAAATAATATTTGTCAACTTTAATTAAATTCTGAAATTGAGAGATTTATAATTAATCAATGTAAAAAATTAAAAATGGATTTATGCTTTAATATATTTCAACAATGCAACTTTTTTTTCCAACGTAATTTTTTATTGTTTTTTTTTCAAGTTAAAATTTGGAATTTGATTTCAAATTTTTTTTTATAAATGAGAAAGGGTTTGGAAAAGTAGGACTATTATTATCAACTCCAGTCTTAATTTGTCTTAAAAAGCAGAATAAAAACTCCCCCCCCCCCCTATTAAAACAATTATATTTAACTAATTTTTGTCGTCAAAGCATTTAGAAGAAAGTTATGATTTTGGCAATAGGGACTGAATTTTTTGCCACAAACTCTGATTTTCTTCATATCTTTGAAACCAAATATGCAATAAAACCTTAGATATTTCAAAATATAAACTTTGTTAGATCAAGAAATAATCTGAGTTTGAAATATGACAGGTTTACAGGTACACCATCAGATCATACACATATTGGAATTAGAAAATTTGAATCTGTTGCAAAAACTCAATTCCTTTCCAAGAAAGTGGTTTGGACAAGATGAGATTGGAAAAAAAGAATGAGAAGAAGATTATGAATTGTACTGTTTAATAAAGCATATTGTTTGTGTCTTGTTATATATCCACAAAAAATAAATATTAAAATTTCCAATCTAGAATGTTTTAAACCATTCTCTATTAATTTTGCTTTAAAGTAATTGAGTCTTTGCCCCTAACTTAATTTTTTTCTTCTTATCTTTGCAACCTAATGGTGTCAATCTTAAATATTTTAAACTTAGATTATTTAATCTGTTATAATCCATAATTTAATATATATATATAAACATATATATGCGACATTGGTTTGCAAGTCTGAGTTTGTGTCAAAGACTCAATTCCTTTGCTTAACATATTTTTCTTTGATTTTCTTCTATTTCTATTTCATCTTTGACCATCTAAATTCTTAAGATTGAGATAAAAAATAGATTTTAATTACTTTATTTATTTTATTTTCACAAAAATAAAATGAACAGTGAAATACATAGATATAATCATGACAAGTACATTGACTAGATATAGTTAGATAGATAGATAGATAGTAGAATTGTTGATATGTTTGAAATACAAAACTTAAACATAAAAAGGTTATTTCTATTATTGTCCGTAACAATTAGGATTAATTTATAGTTTCTGTTTTTAAAGGACTGGTTACAAGGACATCTTAGTTTAAAGCATAATATACGCGATTCACAACGGTACCTCTAACCCTTAATCGGATTAGCAATATGGAAGATATCGTCGTTTTTCTGAAATATATAAATTTTTAAAATTTAAAATTTTCACCTGCAATTGAAAATTTTGAATCGGACACAGAAATGTTGGAAAAAAGGGTCACTTTGAGTTATGTCGATTGACCCTTTAACAGATAATAAATCTAAAGGTTTAATTAAATCAATTAGTGTAATGATTGATTACTAATTTAGAATATGAACTCATGCAATCGATCAATGAATATACATTGTACAACAAATATGAGACTTAAACGGGATTCACAAAATAGAGATAGCAAATTAAACTGTTTTTCGTCTTTTTTTTTATAAAGTGTTCTTTTATTGTTTAAATTCCTGAATTAAGTAAATGTCAACTATCCTCAAATAACTAATGGTTGTTTAAAACGACAAATATCTGTTGTTAAATGTCCTAAAAGTGCCCCAAAAGTCTTTTATTCTCTAAAAATTCTTGATTTAAATTGTATCTGATCTTATTTATATTTATGTACTTTGTAAACTGGTGTAAAATATTGAGAATATTGAGACGGTATGTCTTGCATAGTGCAGAGAACATTATCTTTATAGAATATACAATATATTAAAGGGACTGTACATTGTACAGTGTACACTTGTACGTGTGCACTTGTTCGTGTACACGTAATTACAAGAGAATCTATATTCATATTTGCTGAGTAGAATGTTCGATTCGCAAACTACTCTTGAAGTCTGTTTCTGAGTAACAATAAGGAATGTTTTTTTCTTAAAGGGACTGTTCGCGTAAAATTAAAGGGGGTATAGGCTTATGGCGAAAAATAAGCGCTTTTGATCGCAACTAATCTTACTCCTATCTGTTGTGTCCATACAAATTTGGAAAGTTGCAACATTCAACACGGATCGTAAACAAATCAATTTAATTTCAAACAAATCATTCAGATATTACGAACAATAGTCACCGATTATTTTTTGACGCATTTGTATATAGTTAATATTTCATATTATTTTGATTTAAAAAAAATACATTTCGCTGGCGCTGGATTTTCGAACATTCCGGGAAAATATGAAAATATCGTCTTCTTTAACAAAAATCTTCGAAACAGGAATAAATTTTTTTCAAAAGTAATTCTCAGATTTTGAAAAATAAAAAAATTTATATTTCGCAAAACCCTTCCTTTAAAAAATATCAAATTCTGACAATTTGCTTCTTTGTCTCTGCATTATAATTTCGAAATCAGTTTTTTTCCAGGAAAACCCAAGTTGAAAATAATTAATTTAGAATATCTTGTTCATCCTCTGAATTAAAGAGCAAGCCGCGTTGTTAATCGGACAGACCAGTCTACAAATAAAGATCGACTTGAAATAACGTATACAGTCTCTTTAATGCATTTGGGGGAGGTATTATTCTGATTTATCTCTTTTTTATGTAATGTTTTTAAGAACATTAAAATTGTGTTTTTTAGATTGTTTTTCTTTATCTTTCCGTGCTCGGATTGTTTCATGTTACTTCTCTTTAAAAGAATACCCTTAGAGAAGGTTAGAAATACTTTTTCTCTGTTTACATAAATGTAAATATAGACAGTAGACACTAATATGCAAAATGCATGCAAGAGATGCATACATTATCCATTTTTGGAGTCTCGTTTTCTCGTCATAAAAAATACTTATGGAATTTAGGTTTAGTTTTCTTCACTCTTTATCTGTAGACCTAGAGAAGGTTCTCTTTGTATCTACTGTAGACCTAGAGAAGGTTCTCTCAGTATCTACAGTAGAACTAGAGAAGGTTCTCTCTGTATCTACTGTAGACCTAGAAAAGGTTCTCTCTCTGTATCTACTGTAGATCTAGAGAAGGTTTTCTCTGTATTTACTGTAGATCTAGAGAAGCTTTTCTCTGCATCTACTGTAGATCTAGAGAAGGTTCTCTCTGTATTTACTGTAGATCTAGAGAAGGTTTTCTCTGTATCTACTGCAGACCTAAAGATGGCTCTGTATCTACTGTAGACCTATAAAAGGTTTTCTCTGTATCTACTGTAGACCTAGAAAAGGTTTTCTCTGTATCTACTGTAGACCTAGAGAAGGTTTCTGTGTATCTACTGTAGTTCTAGAGAAGGTTCTTTCTGTATCTGCTGTAGACCTAGAGAAGGTTCTCTCTGTATCTACTGTAGACCTAGAAAAGGTTCTCTCTGTATCTACTATAGACCTAGAAAAGGTTTTCTCTGTATCTACTGTAGACCTAGAAAAGGTTTTCTCTGTATCTACTGTAGACCTAGAAAAGGTTTTCTCTGTATCTACTGTAGACCTATAGAGTAAGGTTGAGTTCTCTCCTTGATCCAGATTCGTCCTGTTATCCATATCTCTATCTCACGAAGTATCGCTCTATCTCAGGATTGTGCAAAGCAGACGTATCCGTCCCACACTCTTGAATAAAAACCCTCGGATTAAAGTTTATTAAGGTCTCTCTCTCTCTCCTTCTCTCTGCTTGTCTCCAATCTTCTTATACTTATCAAGGTTTATGTTCTGACAGGAGATTACTAGATCTTGTATTCAAGCTCCAGGGTTAAATACACACCAGGTCTGACAGGTACCTGGAGAACTGGACTAATCTCTTTCTTTTAATCGCGGAAATGATTTAGTCAGGAAATTCACGAAAATGCATTTTGTTTTATTTACGCCTCAGCTGGGTTTGGTTTTTGCAGAACTCTGGAGGAAGCGTTCTTCGTCCGAACCCTCGCTCCAGGTTCAAGCTTACATACTCATTCCCCTCCTGAGTTAATGCAATTGTAATTGGAGTCTCCAGGTTTGGGGTTTCTCCTGCTCCAAACCTTGATAAACCAGTAAAGGTTGAGTGAACCTGACAAGAACGAACAGGATTGCTCCGTCTCAAGGGTGTGCGGAGCAGTGGTTGATCCTCACTATACCTGGAGATTGTTTTATTCAAACTCCGTCTCAGGTCATCGTCACTTGCATCTGATAGTTGGAAGTCCTGTTCATTATCTTTAGTGAAGACCATATCTCCATCCTGTGTTGTCTGGGGTCCGGAGAATATAGGATCTATCTCCATGTATATGTGTCCACTGGGACTCACTGGTCTAAAGTAATGATTGGTTTCATCTTTGAGTTGTATTGGAGAGAGAACTCCTGACAGAGTGTTGATATCCTGTCTCTTGGTTCTGTATAGTGTAGGTTCCGTTCCAGGTCTGAGAATAACACCAGGTTCAGCTCCAGGTCTAGGCATGGTACTGAGGTTTACTCCGGGTCTGTGCAATGTACCGTGGTCTGCTCCAGGTCTGTGTAAAGTACCAGGTTCAGCTGTAAGTCTGTATAATGTACTCTGATCATCAGATCTAAATGCGCTACTATCATCGCCAATTAAGGTTCGATAAATGGATTGCTGATCGCTTAGTCTGTACACAGATTGATGATCGCTCAGTCTGTAAACTGATTGACTATTGCAAGATCGATGTGTTGATAGAAGATCGCTAGAATATCGGTCTGATCGCTGCGTGATAGATTTGTACAAGGATTGCTGCCCTAGTGGTCTATGAATTTGACACTGTTCTCCAGGTGGTTGAAACGACTGAGGGGATACATGAGAAGGGAAAACTAGGTCCTTACCCAGAGAATAGTTTGAGGTTTGGGTTGGATCATCAGATAATGTTGTAGAGGTTGGGGAGGAGTTGATGTTAGGATAATAATCCTCGTCTCCGTCCTTACAGATACAGGAGATATAAACCCTGGACCGTTTATCTTGGTCTCTATGTAAACAGAACTTCCAGGTGAGGAGAACTATGAGGAAGGTGAGGAATACTCCAGTAACTACTGCTAGAAGAATACCAAGGAGAGAACCAATATCTTCATTTAACTCTTCTCCTGCAGGGATCATCTCAGCAAGAAGAGCAATGGTTGCAGGACTGCTGTCACAGATACACGTTGTATGGGACTGATTAGTAGATTCAACTTGACAGCCTGATTCAGTCCAAGAATTATATGAGGTGTCCCAGCTCACGCAGGAGGAGGAGGACAAGTTTCTCTGTCTGTGCTCCAGGGTGACCCGGAGAGGAAAGGTTAGAGACGGTTGAGTTCTCCTGGCATACAACAAACTTACAATATCAGAGTTGAGAAACCTGACACGGGGTAGGGAGGAGGAGGGCAGGACCTTGTCTAAACCATCATAGCTAAAGAATGTGAGTTGGATTGGTTCAATGCTGTCTCTCGTCTCAGTTAAATCTTCTACTCTGAGCTGAACCCTGGTCTGGGTTCCTCCTAGATCTAGAAACTCCAAGTCCTGCTCCGGGTAGGAATTAAACACCCGGATAGAGTTCTGTACATGTTCAGTTCTCTGTTCGAATCTATCCCTGGCGCCTAGATTTCTAGCCAGTACTGTAGCTGTATTAAACATCTCTTGAATAAAGCTGCTTCCAGCTGCAGCTCTTTGCTCTAACTCCAGATCCTTCCAAGCCGAGTATTGGTCTGCTCGGAGAAAATTATTTCCTGTAAGCAGAACACTATGGAATAATTCTGCTGCTTTAGCTTCCCTTTTCTCCCTTTGCTCTATCTTCTCTAGTTTTTGCTCCTGCTCCACTCTCAGGGTTCGGAGCATTATCATAGTTTGAAGAATATCTCCTCCGTAGAGAGCTCTTGATCTTGTATATGCTGCTAGATCAGAGAGAATACGTTCTCCGGGATTAAACTCAATATCACGTGTTAACTCCGTAATCCAGGTTGATTTACATCCACTGAGGTTCGGAGATTCTCCGTCCCAACCTTGATTTAGACAGCTCCAGGTTGCTACTCCTAGTGCATCCGAGGGACAAGGTTGGATAACATCCCTCTCCTCTCCGTCCCAGGTCCAGAGAATCCCTCGGGAGAATGTTCTGGAACAGGGTTCGGATCCGAGAGTAAATATTTGATCAGGGTCGTATTCATCATCTCCCTGTTCTCCCCTCCACCTGGATTCATCCTTCAATTCGTCCCAACCTTCTCAACATACCACATTTATATTCAACTATTCAAAATTTACAAAGTTTATGCATGGATTTAAAGAATATTGTGCATTTCAACCTTCTTTTAAAAGTTTAATTTAAAAAAACATGCTTTATAACCTTTCATTAAATAATCTTTTTTCTCAGATGATTTTTCCGGCTGCATTTAAAGCCTGTTAAACATAAACTCGTGTTCTAAATAGAATCTATGCATATTGCAAACAGGTCTAGGGGGTATAAAATGAGTCCTCTCAAGATTTAACTCAAGAAAACACAGAAAAAAAATATAGGATACGATATAGAAGAAAATTAAATGGACTTTACGAAGTAACAATATAGCGGAAAAGAAACTCATCAGAAATAAAATGCTAAAATATCCATTTAAAAAAGAACTAAGCGAAATAATAAAATAAAATGGCGAAATAGAACTGTTTCAGAAAAATGTTAAACTCGTGATAAATGTGGGAAAATATAGGAGCAGGATAAAAGAAACACAATAAATTGTTCTACGAGGTAGAGAAATTGAAAAATATAGAATTAGGTTTAAGGAACTGTCAGCGTCATTGACCCTTCATCCAAATGTACTTACACATAATTTACAACGATATTATCCCCAGCCATAGAAAATTTAGAAAATGACGTCGTTTTTCTGATTCAAACCTTGTTTATTTGTTTATTGTCCATTGGTTCTTTCATACAAGAAAAATAAACCACAAATGAAAATGTTTAGATTAATAAAATCTTTACTTAATCCTTGATTAGAAGAAGCTTTAGAGGGTACCGTTGTAAATCAAGCATTGCAATCTATTCACAGAGGAAATTTGAAATTACGCTGACAGTCCCTTTAAAAGAATAATGCTAATATGTGGTGTGTTTAGAGGGTACCGTTGTAAATCAAGCATTGCAATCTATTCACAGAGGAAATTTGAAATTACGCTGACAGTCCCTTTAAAAGAATAATGATAACATGTGGTGTGTGCCTGAGTGGTGTTTTGTAGGAACACTATCAGTAAGATTTACGCCTGGTTCTCCTTGTTCTCCAGGTTCTCCTTGTACTGCATGTACTCCGGTTACTCCAGTAGCTCCAGGTACTACTGGAGCTTCTGTTTGTGTTGAAGGTGTACCTGGAGAAGTTACTGAAGTCCTGGTTGAAGTTTGCAGAGAAGAATTTAGTTCTAGAAGATGTTTGACCTGCCACGCAGGCTCAGGCGTAGCAGTTAGATCCAGGAGCCAAGGGGGGCGTTCCTGTAGGGTGGTGAGCCCCGCCCCCTGCTCTAGACAGCTGTAATGCACCTCCACATATTTAAAGGTTCCAGGACAAGGATCTCCAAATATAGAACTGTTGACAGGGACAGTGCACGAGTTTAAAGATCCACACCTGTAATACAAAATATAAATTAAAGGGACTGATAACATATTTTCACAAAGATTTTGTCCACATTTTAGTGGAACTCTTTTTTAAAGTGACTATAGGCGTAATTTCATAAATGTGACCCTCGTTGAAAAAGATGACAATACCCGATTCACAACGGTACCCTTCGCAACCTTTATAAGATCAATAATTATTTCATGTTTAAAAGAGTTACATTTTGAATATTCCTATATATTTTACTTTAGTATATAAATGTGCAAGTAACTCATGAAGAGAAACCACAATTGAAATAATAAACATTGATATATGATTCATATTTCAACAGAAAATGCTTTAAAGAGCACCATTGCATCGTGCATTAACATGTTTGCATGGAGAATCGTACAGTCCTTTAAACGGTTAATCCTTGAGACAAATATTGACATATTACTCACGAATATTAAAGAGAAAAAGTGAACAATTAAATCGTCAATAATCCTATTTATGGTTGATAAATAAGCTTAATTAAATCGTGAATAATCCTATTTATGGTTGATAAATAAGCTTAATTAAATCGTGAATAATCCTATTTATGGTTGATAAATAAGCTTAATAAAATCGTGAATAATCCTGTTTATGGTTGATAAATAAGATAAATTTAATCGTGAATAATCCTATTTATGGTTGATAAACAAGATTAATTAAATCGTGAATAATCCTATTTATTGTTGATAAATAAGCTTAATTAAATCAGTGGCAGCATGTTCAGTTTAAAACAAAGTTTAAGAAGAAAATAAAAAGGAAAGAAAGATAAAATTTCAAGAATGCTCTAACACCAATATCCAATATGGTAGTTCCAAACCTGGAACTTTAATCTACATAAAACCCATCTCCCCTTTCTACCCCCCTTATGNCAGACCCTCACTTAACTATAATTAATATTATTAGTCACTTTATCCTACCCCATCTTTACTGATAGTATTACTTTTCCAGACCCTCACTTAACTATAATTAATATTATTAGTCACTTTATCCTACCCCATCTTTACTGATAGTATTACTTTTCCAGACCCTCACTTAACTATAATTAATATTATTAGTCACTTTATCCTACCCCATCTTTACTGATAGTATTACTTTTCCAGACCCTCACTTAACTATAATTAATATTATTAGTCACTTTATCCTACCCCATCTTTACTGATAGTATTACTTTTCCAGACCCTCACTTAACTATAATTAATATTATTAGTCACTTTATCCTACCCCATCTTTACTGATAGTATTACTTTTCCAGACCCTCACTTAACTATAATTAATATTATTAGTCACTTTATCCTACCCCATCTTTACTGATAGTATTACTTTTCCAGACCCTCACTTAACTATAATTAATATTATTAGTCACTTTATCCTACCCCATCTTTACTGATAGTATTACTTTTCCAGACCCTCACTTAACTATAATTAATATTATTAGTCACTTTATCCTACCCCATCTTTACTGATAGTATTACTTTTCCAGACCCTCACTTAACTATAATTAATATTATTAGTCACTTTATCCTACCCCATCTTTACTGATAGTATTACTTTTCCAGACCCTCACTTAACTATAATTAATATTATTAGTCACTTTATCCTACCCCATCTTTACTGATAGTATTACTTTTCCAGACCCTCACTTAACTATAATTAATATTATTAGTCACTTTATCCTACCCCATCTTTACTGATAGTATTACTTTTCCAGACCCTCACTTAACTATAATTAATATTATTAGTCACTTTATCCTACCCCATCTTTACTGATAGTATTACTTTTCCAGACCCTCACTTAACTATAATTGATATTATTAGTCTCTTTATCCTACCCCATCTTTACTGATAGTATTACTTATGACATTTTAAATATTTTTGAAATTTTTTGGACAGTATCTACTTCAAGAATTGGTCACATTTTTGAAAATTGTGCAAATACAAGTTCATATTTGGAAATTTCAAAATAATAGAATTAATCATGTTTCTCACTGGGCTTATAGCAACAAAACAAAATATTTGGAATTTTGCAATTGTAAAAAAGTTTCTAAGAGCTTTCCAAAATGTTATATTTCTCATGGACATGACAATTAGGATTTAGGTGGGAGGGTTACTGGACGAGTATTGGTAAGGCTTTGAGAGCTAGATTTTGTATCGGATTATAAAATGCCTTTTTTTCGTATGTAGATAATGTAAATACATTAAAACTAATAGGGGTTTTAAGGGCTTCGAGATTCAAATTTCAACTCAAAAATAAATTTTCAACTTTTCTTTATTTTCTTTTTTGATCTTGGTATTGACGATAGCGATATTTGAAATCCATTGAAAATAATACTATCACTGACAAGACTACGACGTCATGTTTTTCTACAATCACCTACAAGACTACGACGTCATGTTTTTCTACTATCACCTACAAGACTACGACGTCATGTTTTCTACAATCACCTACAAGACTACGGCGTCATGTTTTCTACAATCACCTACAAGAATACGACGTCATGTTTTTCTACAATCACCTACAAAACTACGAAGTCATGTTTTTCTACAATCACCTACAAGACTACGACGTCATGTTTTTTATGACTTTAAGATACTAGCAGTTAGTATCCTTCTTTCTACTTTTCCTGAAATCTGAAACTAGATCTTTTCATGTACGCTTTATACCCCACCATCCACTAACTATTATACTTCTTGGACTACTCTTAAGGCCTGTTCCATCGAATCAATTAGCTGCAGTGTCAAGGTTTCAAACTCACAGAGATAATTCTCATTTTCAGTTTTTCAATCTCATCCTTCCTCATTCTAGCCGTTATATTTCATTAACCTTCCGTTATATTTCATTAACCGTCCGTTATATTTCATTAACCTTCCGTTATATTTCATTAACCTTCCGTTATATTTCATTATCTTTCCGTTATATTTCATTAAGTTTCAGTTATATTTCATTAACCTTCCGTTATATTTCATTAACCTTCCGTTATATTTCATTAACCTTCCGTTATATTTCATTGTCCTTCCGTTATATTTCATTAACCTTCCGTTTTACTTCATTATCCTTTCGTTATATTTCATTATCCTTCCGTTATATTTCATTATCCTTCCGTTATATTTCATTATATTTCTGTTATATTTCATTATATTTTCTTTATATTTCATTAACCTTCCGTTACATTTAATTATTTTTCCGTTATATTTCATTATATTTCCGTTATATTTTATTATCCTTCCGTTAAATTTCATTATTCTTCTGCTATATTTTATTATCCTTCCATTATATTTCATTATGCTTCCGTTATATTTCATTATCCTTGCGTTATATTTCATTAATCTTCCGTTATATTTCCTTAACCTTCCGTTATATTTCAAAAACCTTCTGCTATATTTCATAAATCTTCCGTTATATTTCATAAATCTTTCGTTATATTTCATTAACCTTCTGTTATATTTCATTCATCTTCCGTTATATTTCATTATCCTTCAGTTTTATTTCATAAATCTTCCGTAATATTTCATAAATATTCCGTTATATTTCATTAACCTTCTGTTATATTTTATTAATCTTCCGTTATATTTCATTATCCTTCCGTTTTATTTCATTAACCTTCCGTTATATTTCATAAACCTTCCGTTATATTTCATTAACATTTAAGGAGGGGAAATAGAAAGTGAATGAAGAAGGGGAGGGGTAGGAGGGAAAAGAGAAGGGAAAAGAGAATGGAAAAAGGAAGGGGAAAGAGAAGGAAAAGGGAAGGGGTAAGAAAAGGAAAAGGGAAGGGGAAAGAACACAGAAAAGGGAAGGGGAAAGAGTAGGGAAAAGGGAAGGGGAAAGAGAAGGAAAAGGGAAGGGGAAAGAGAATGGAAAATGGAAGGGGAAAGAGAAGGGAAAAGGGAAGGGAAAAGAGAAGGGAAAAGGGAAGGGTAAAGGGGGAAAGGAACAGGAAAGGGAAGGAGTTTAAAAAGAAAACGGATTGAAGGATGGGAGATGGGCTAGGAAATTTCAAGGGAAGGGAGTGAAATGAATTTAAATACAGCAAGGGGAGTCGTGTGGTGGGGAATTAGGAATCTTGGAACAGATTAGGGGAGGGAGGGGG